CCCCCCCCACCATACTGGTGATGGCTATTACATTACAGGATTCTTAAAGATTGCCTGCTTCTCTTTGAGACTGAGAATTTGTGATTTATCCCCATCTTTCTTTGCCCTCATTCCTGTAATCCCATAATCCCTGCACTACCTAACCCTGCACACTAGGTACAAAATAGATATTATTTGACTGAATGAGTGAAGAGTACAGCTAACATTTATAGTGCCTTAATGATACCAGCTATTGTGGGAAGATCTCTTATTTACTCATCACAGCAACACTATCAGGTGGTTTGGTGCTCTTATCACAATTTGCTAAATGGGGAATCTGGGCCATTGAACATAACCTGTCCAATGTCACTCAGACATTGAGTGGCCAGGACTTATGAACTCATCTCTTTAGTCTTCACCACTGCACATACACTGTTTTAGTTTGCCAGAAGTTGCAGAGTTGGCTGGGTTCATGGGTGCCCTGTGGCCTGTAGCTCTACCTGCTGAGGACACACAGCCTGACCTGTCCCAGCCATTTCCCTTGTGGCCATATAGAGGAAGTCTTCACCTTGGGCTCTCATTGCCCCCCTGCTGTGAGAGGACCAGACATAATCTTAGCACTTGCAATTCTAATTCTGTATACCTAGCTCCCCCAAGCGCGCCTGTCCCACCTCCACCACATATATCTCATCTAGTTAACTGCTATTCAGCCCTCACATCTCATCTCATGTATGTTAGCATTCAATAAATATTTGTTGAATGATTGAATAAATGACCAGTTAATGAGGTTTTTAAATTCAGTTCTGATATCAACTTTGCTTTTTAAATAATGTTAACTCTGCCCTGACTACAAAAAATGCAATCAATGATCATGAACTAATATGTAATTAAGAGGAAATGCAATGTACCCATCCTTTTACAATCTAAGACATAAACAAGAGATTATTTGTGAGATTCTGTGGGCCCTTCTGATTCTTAGCATAGTTTTAAGCTAGTTTTTATATGGCGGTAATAATTATATACGCAGTGTTTTGTGTTTTTAATTTCTCCTTAATATTTTGCATGTGTTGATGATTTCCCTAAATTTGTATGGTGAGCTTGCTTGTCATTTTAAACATAACAGAATATCCCACTGGGTGGTCCTCCCATAATAAACATTGGGTTTTGCTTTTTGTAGCCAGTGCCCATCTGGCATTGCCAATTATCTGAAGCTACAGTAATTTAAAGGAAGCAGGACTGCAGTTTGCCTTGGTTGAGGAACTGACCTTTGGGTATTGCTGTGTTGTGATTATGGCAAGCTGTGATGATATTTTCCCCTTAATTTATTCCAGGATGTTTTTCTCTGGCGGGCAGTGTGGCCATGTTGGCAGACCTGAAGAACTTTTACTGATGTTCAAGATATTTCTTGTCATTTGTGTTCATGTTGTTCTGGTTACATCCCTGGAAGGTAAGATACCTATTCTCCTTCATTGGGGTATGTGTGTGTGTGCATGTGTGTGTGCTCGCACACCCCCTTGTGTGTTCATTTAGGAATTTCTTACTTTGGTAAAAAACAAAAACAAAAACAAAACATAAAACTTACTATTTTAAATATTTTTAAGTGTACAATTCACTGGCATTAAATATATTTGCAATTTTTTGCAACCATCATCACTGTTAATTTCCAGAACGTTTTCATCATCTCAAACAGAAACTCTGTACCCATTAAACAATAGCTCCCCATTCTCCCCAGCCTCTGATAACCTCTGTTCTTTCTTTTGCTATGAATTTGCCATATAAATGGAATCATACAATATTTGTTCTTTTGTGTCTGACTTCTTTCACTTGGTATAATGTTTCTGATGTTCATCCATGTTGTAGCACCTATCAAAATTTCATTCTTTTTAAAGGCTGAATAATACTCCACATTTTATCTACTCACTGTTGATGGACATTTGGGTTATTTCCATCTTTTGGCTATTATAAATAATGCTTTGAACATTGGTGTACAAATATCTGTTTGAGTCCCTGCTTTCAATTCTTTTGGGTATATATACCAAGCAGTGGAATTGCTGGGTTATATGGTAGTTCTATGTTTTACTTTTTGAGGATCTGCCAAACTGTTTCCTACAGTGGCTGCACCATTTTACATTTCTACCAGCAAGGCTCAAGGATTCCAGTTTCTCTATATCTTCACCATCACTTGTTATTTTCTGTTGTCTTGATAATGGATGTGAAATGGTATCTCATTGTGGTTTTGACTTGCACTTCCTTAATGATTAGTGATGTTGAACATCTTTCATGTGCTTATTGGTCATTTGTATATCTTCTTTGGAGAAATGTCTTCAAATCTTTGGCCCATTTTTAAATTGAGTTGTTGGTTTTTCTGGTGTTGATGAGTTTTAGGAGTTCTTTATGTATTCTGGATATTAATCCTTCATCAGATCTATGATTTGCAAATATTTTCTCCTATTCTGTGGGTTGTCTTTTCACTCTCTTAATAATGTCCTTTGATGCACAAACATTTTTAATTTTGATGAAGCCCAACTTATCTATTTTTACTTTGTTGCCTGTGCTTTTGCTGTCATATCTAAGAAATCACAGCCAAATCCAATGTCATGAAGATTTTACCCTATGTTTTCTTCTAAGAGTTTTATAGTTTTAGCCCTTATGTTTAGGTCCTTTAATCTATTCTGAGTTCATTTTTGCATATGGTGTAAGGTAAGGGTCCAACTTCATTTTTTTGGCATGTATATATCCAGTTTTCCCAGAACCATTTGTTGAAAAGACTGTCTTTTCCCCATTGAATGGTATGAGCACCATTGTCAAAAATCAAATGACCATATATGTAAAGGTCTATTTCTGGTATTTGTTTTTAAAAGTATCTCCTTGAAGACACTTCTGCATGGAAATTTAAGGGAGGTAGAGAATCAGCTAAATGAAGCAGCATGGTTTTCAGAAAAGAGGATCTTTAGAAGCTTAGGAAACAAGGAGAAAGGGTATCTGAGGGAGGCAGTAAAAAGACCAGAAACCCTGGGGCTGCAGTATCTATGGGTACAACTGCCAAAATAACACAGTGCTATGCAAATGTAAAGAACGTTCCTTAGGAATGTTATTTAAAATACATTATTAAGGACAAATGGAGAAATACCTTTCTTCTTCAGAAGAGTAGCAGGACCAAGGAATCTTTATTGGCTAAAGCAAATATCTACTAGCAGCAAACAACAGTAGCATAAACCAAACATACATACAACACACATACATGCACACAAATAAATGGAAAACTTCCCAACAGGTTAAAACACAATTGACAGTCCTTCAAAAAGTAGGCACTGGGGCATATTTTCAAGAAGCAACAATAGCTTATTTAAAAAAATGATAAGAGCTAAATGTGCACTGACTGCTTACAATGTGTCAGGTTCCTATGTGCTTTACATACATTCACTCTCTTAGGCTTCTCAACCAAATCTATGAGAGGGAGATCCTAGTCTTAGCCCCATTTCTCAGATCAAGAAACAGACTCAGAGAGATAAGTAACTTGCTTAAAGAAGTGGCTGAGCTGGGATTTGCACCCAGCTCTGAATTTTGTGCTCAAAACCACAAAAACCAGAGTTCTCAAACTTGAATGTGCATCAGAATCATCTGGAGAGCTTGTTAAAATACAGATTTCTGGGTCTTTCCCCCAGAGGTTCTCATTTAGTAGAGTGGGGGTGGGACCTGAGAACTGACATTTCTAACAAGGTCCCAGGCAGTGTTGATGTGACTGGTTCAGATATTACACCTTGAGAACCACTGCCTATATAACTGCAGGCGAAAGCAGGGAGAACAAACTCCTCCAGATATATATCATGGGATACAAATTCTGTTGTGGCCATGTGACATTCATGTCAGCTATGCTCACATACACCATCTCACTGCGGGATTGGCAGAGCAAAAATCAAATGTCCTTACTTTACTGATGAGTAAATACCCCCAGGGACATCATTCCTTAGGAACTGATGGAGCCAGACTAGATACTAGATCTTCGGTCTCACGTTTCAGTGCTTTTTCCACCACAAGGGTAGATGAGGAAGGAAAGTGGAACACAAGGGAAAAAAATCATCAAAATGAAAGCTGCTTGGTAGAAATAAGGCTTTCTTAAAAAGTATTTTAAAATGATGAAACAGGGCAGGTAAGTCAGAAAGTGCACAGCTCTGAAACAAACCTGAGTAGGGAAAACCTAAGTGGATGCTTAAGGCAGCTGAATCTATTTCTTTCTTTTATTTTAGAGAGAGAGAGAGAATGGGAGAGAGAGAGAGGGAGGAAGAAACATCAATGTGAGAGAAAAACATTGATGTGTTGCAACCTAGGTATGTGCCCTGACCAGGAATCAAACCCACAACCTTTTGGTGTATGGGAAGACGTTCCAACCAACTGAGCCACCCAGCCAGGGCTCAATGTATTTCTTGCTCTGTCATATGAATTGATTTCTGAAAGCAGTGGTTCCCAAAGTGTGGCCCCAGACAAGTAGCATCAGCATCACCTGGGAGCTTTTGAGAAGTGCAGATTGTCAGGCCCACCCTAGACCTGCTGAATGGAAACTCTAAGGGTGGAGCCCAACAGTCTGTGTTTTAATCAGCCACCCAGGTGATGCTGATGCATGCCCAAAGTGAATAACCACTGTCATAAAGAATTGGTTAAAACACTACTGCTGACAGCACGATATAGTAGAAAGGTGGTACGTTCTAGAGTTAGAACCCTCCCTATGCCCTGCCACCTGTTATTTGCATGATCTTCATTTGCCACTAGACCAACAGGAACTTCTGTTTCCTCATCTTCAAAATTGGTGCAATCATGAGCTTTCCCAATGGATTCTTGTAAGACTCAATATATGCTTTTAAAAAAAGCTCCATGAAAACAAATACTTTTCTTTTTTCCCTTTCCAGCTTTATTGACATATAATTAGCATATAACATTGTATATGCAATGGTTTTCCTGAACAAAGTGTTTGGGGATCTAGAAATGGCTAAACAGAAGTTTATTTCTGTCTTTCAGAACTCCCACGAAGAGTTCATGTTATTTAATAATAACCTTGATGGCACTTACCATGTGCCAGCTGCTGTTTTGAGCCCTTATAAAAGGCTAACTCATTTAAAGCTCACTCAATAACCCTTTGAAGTAGGCACTGTTATTAGCTCCATTTTATAGATGAGGAAACTGAGACACAGAGAAGTTAAGCAACTTGCCCTAGGTTAATCATTTTATTTGCAGAGCTGCAATTCAAATTCAGGCCATATGACCCAATCTTTCTGTGTTTAAGTACTACACTATCTGTCTTTTGGAATTCTTAACCTCTCTGCTGTGCTAGGCTCAGTTGCTTGGTGGTTATGCAACTGTAGATTAAAAATAATGGTGGAATCCATACTTGTGAGAATCACTGAATGTTAGATTGGATCAACCAGATGGCTCATAGGCACCATCTCCCTCAACAGCTTTGGACTGAGGCAGGTTCTCTTTAGTTCAGAATGGCTTAAGTCTGGTCTTTGATGAAAGCCTAGGGGATTGACCTGCTATTTCTATACTGGATAATCAGTTGTATAGTAATGACAGCCTGCTATGTGCTCAGCATTACTGGCTGCTGAGAGAACATCATCTCTGACTCCAGGGAATTTACATGCCAGTTGAAGGGACATGATTATGACACATGAGAACAACACAAAGTAAAATTAAGTCCTAAATGTGAGTCAGTGCTATATGGCCTTTGGCCAAATCTTTGGATTAGTCTAGTTAAATGTTAAGCCACCAGTAGCAGATGCTATTGGTGCCCTGTCCATCCCCAGAGGTCACCTACAGACAGATCCTGTGTATGTTGATGGCTTCCATGTCTCTCTGACCGAGAATGATCTGTGCCCATGGAACCACACTTTGCCTTTGCATGGAAAAAAGCAGAAGTGCCAGGGAGTTAACCCCCCACAACAGTGAGAGATGGGAGTTGGTGTTTACCTAGGCCAGTTTCCTCACCCCTGGGGCAAGCTGAGGTGTGCCCCAGTTGCCCATAGTAGTAACCTCCTCATTAATGTACCCATTATTGACTTTGTTCCCTTCCCTATCTCACTTCCCTACTCCCTCCCTCTGCTTCCTGGGGTCATCCCCATTTGGAAACACATTCATCTTCCAAGGTCCAGCCAAATATTACTACCTTTATAAAGCCTGCCCTGACCTCTTCATAATAATTAAATCTTTCTCTCCAGTGCTCCTCCCCCATCCATATTTTTTTATACTTGTCACTTTGTATCATGTCATTATGTACTTCCTTGGCATCATGAATCCCTTTCAGTGCATTGTTAGTGCCAGGTGAGAAGGGAGAATGGAGGTTTGGCGAGGTGGGTGGGAAACTAATGGGAGGAAAACTAATGAGCACTAAGGGCCTGCTCTGGGCCAGGCCCCTTTAGGTACTTTATATACATCATCTCATTTAATCTTCATGAAAACTCTTCATGGTAAATATTTTTAGTCTCAGTTTGCAGATGAAGAAACTGAGCATCAAAGAGGTGAGGTCATTTACCCAGAGCCACACAGCTTGGAGGATACCTCATCGGAATCTATAGCCGTACTCTTCATACTATACTAGGCTGCTCAGTAAGTGTCTGAAGACTGAAAGAACATGTCACTGAGGCATGAGAATATGGAGAAGGAGCCTGGGGTAAGCCGCTGGAGAGTAGCCATTCCCCCTGGCTCTGGGGAATCTAGATTGCAAACACAGTAGCTTCACCCTGGAAGCCTGAGAGATGACTCAGTAGCTCTTGACAGCAAGGAGAGGTAGGTCTGACCCTCTGTTGTTAGGCCACTAGCCAACAGAGAGAATCCTTAGAACCTAGCACTTCCAGTTGTGTGATTTGTCGATGTTTGAAGGAGTCATTCTTGATTTACCAGAAGCCCAAAGGGGCAGGTAACTATACTTACATCTAGCCTCTAGCTCTCCCAGGCCATGCCAATGCCTTTTTTGCCCTTTTCTTTCTTTCTTTTTTTTTTTAAGTCTTCGAAGGAGGTCTTCTTTTAGGTACAACTATTTTCCAGAGGGTGAGATGACATAATAATAGTGGAAGATGGTTATAATTTTATTTTTGCAGAGTTGTCTTCCCCATTTGGAAACAATTACACATTTGAGCCAGTTTGGTGATCTCATAAGCTATAATCCCCAACATACTCTTTCTCTGGGCTGTACCTAGATCTTTCTGTGCTGCAGGCATTTCCAGTAATAGATTCCTCTATAATTCCCCTTCTTCAAAGCCTCACTGTCTTGTTTCCTCTTAGACTCTCATGCTTTGTCCATCTAAGACCTGGTTTTTCCTTGTGCAGCACATGTTAGAGGAGGTATAGGAGGTAGGCTATATGCTTCTAAAAGGCAGGGTACCTGTCTTTTTAAAAATTTATTTTCCAATTACAGTTGACATACAATATTAAATTAGTTTCAGGTATACAACATAGTGATTAGACATTTATATACCTTGGGAAGTGATGCCCCTGATATTTCCAGTACCCTGTTTATTACATAAATATAAACTTTATCCAGGGACACAAAATCATATAGTCTGAATTAATAATCATTACAACTTATTATTGGAACTGTGATAAAATACTTTATAAATGTAATATAATTATATTCAAAGTAGTCAACCTCACTTTACAGATGAAGTAATATAAGCAGAGAAGTATTAGAAACTTACTCAAGGCAGAGTCAGGATTTAAACCCAAGTTAATCTTCCTCAAGAGCCAAGTTTCTTAATCATATTTAAAGCTTGGTTAAGGAAGCATGCTCACTCATCCATTGGAAATAAATGGACATGGGCATTTTATTAATATGAAAAAGATTACCAAGTCAAGAATTACATATTATTTAAAGTAAGGAATCCCAGATCAGATTTTCAAAGCTCACGACAAGCCAAAAACATATAAGAAGACAGAACAGGAGCCACCAACATTACAAAGGCCTAGGGGACTGCTAAGAATCTTCTACCCAGAGGTGCTACAGCAAAGATTAGGGTTTACATGGCTAAAAAACAGAGGCAACTTAGAAATACTACATTTCTATCTAAGTAGGATGCAGCATGAATATCCATTATTCCAGCGTTTCTTAGCACCTAAGAAAGAGTCCATTACGGTCACTACTGAGATTGCTCATTGTCCAATCAGAAGAGAGTCATTTGAGAGCAGGAGCCTCCATCAGAGCCACCCAGACCACTTGGACCTTCATAGTATGGCATGTAACTCACTGTGACAAGGTCATTGTGCTTCAGTTTCTTTATCTGTAAAGTGGCAGTACCTCTCTCATAGTTATATGCAGATTAAATGAGTTAATGCATGTAAAACAGATGACTGTAATACATTTGAGACATTGTAAACATTCAGGAAACACTAGCCGTTATCACTAGAGACCAGCATTGTCTAACATAAATTTTTGAGATAATGGAAGTGTTTGTTATCTATATTGCCCAATACAGTAGCCACCAACCACATGTGGCTATTGAGCACTTGAAAGGTGACTGAGGAACTGAATTTCAAATTTTATTTAACTTTCATTATTTTAACTTTAAATAGCCACATGAGGCTACTGTATTGAAGTGTGGCTATAGACTACGTGTTCTAATTGCTTCAGAATGTTTCTATTTCACACTGTATAAGTCAGGGTTCAATCACAGAAGAAGAATCACTAGAGACACACAGACATGAATTTGACAAAGGGATCTGACCTTATACAACTGTGGAAGCTGGTTAAGCAGTCTCTGTAAAGCTGTTGTCTTCATATCTGATGCTAGAACTTAACATCTATGAAGGGCAGGCAGTAGCGAAGGGAGCATGGATATAAGATGAGGAGAGCAAGAACAAGCTGGAAACCACAAGCATGAGTTGTAGCCACAAAACAGACTAAAAACCATGTCAGTTCTTGTTGCCTGTGACCTTAGTGGTATGGATGTCCTGGAGAAGCTGAGCCCTTTAGCACATACCTGGCCCAGGGAGTCAAAGAAGCCAAAACTGGCAGCTTGACAATTGCCAGCATGTGAGAGCTACACAGTGGCTGCTACTCTGCCTCTACCCAAATCTCCCACAAGAAACTCTCTTGTGTTCCACACTACCCAGAAACATACCGAAAAAGGAATTCTGGAAAACATAGCTCAGCCTAGCCATGATGTTACATTACAAAGCCAGCACACATACTAGAAAGCAAATGAGCTCAATTTTTTATCTGTTAATACTTCTAAATAAAACATAATACTAACATCTCCCAAGGCTTTATTTAATTGTTTCTGTTCTGCAACTGACTCAAAGATATTCTGAAGATCCTTACAACCAGTCAAGCTTATATTTTTTTTAAATTTTCTTTACATTTTTCCTGTGATTTAGAATTTTCTCCACATAAACCCACATTATTATTATAATCAGAAAATAATTAATGTTCATTTTTAGAAACCAGCCTATGACCCCTAGGAAGACTGCACACCCAAGTAGAGGACAACCTAATAACATGATTAGCCAGGCTTTCCAATTTTTCCCTGAAACTTTACTGAGTCTTGACTTTGTACAAGAATTTAGGAGACATAAGGTATGGTCACCAGATCTGCAACCATTTGACTTCTGCCTCTTTCCTCACATGTTTCCAAAGTGACCCCAAGGGCATTTTGAAAATCCCAAGGGCAATTTGAAACAAATAATATAAAGGGAAAAGAAACTGAAGTGGGAGTCTTGCTCAATAGAAGGGAGAAATCATTTCCTAAAAAGTCACTAGGAAAATGAGAAATAGAGAGAGCATCACTGTATTAATTACTGACGTGAGCAGTATTTACTGTGTATTCTTCTCAATGCTGTAATAGTAATACCTATGAAGTATGACCTATTATGATTATCTTTACCCCTATTTTCCAGATGGGAAACTGAAGTGCCAGGTGGGTTATGTAAGTTATCCAAAGTTACATAGTGGCAGATTACAAGAGTTGTACAAAATTAACAAGTGGCAGATTTGGACCTAGGCTGTCTGGGTTGCAGAGTCTAGGTTATTATCCTTCCTACCATACTTGAGGGATTCAGGGCAACATCACATGGACTGCTGGGGTCTGATAGGTTGACCATTGGCAGGCTGACTCCTGCTTTTCCTTCACCCCCACATCCAAGTGACCCCCCAAGATCCTCTCATCTTACCTTAGAAGTATCTGTTGAACTTCTCTTTTCATGCCAGCTTTCCAAGCATGGGTTCAAGTCCTCATCGTGTCTTGCCCAATGTACTGCAGTAGTGTGCTCTGCCTTCTCACTTCAGATCACACTCCTTGTTTATTTCATAGCTACATAAAAAATATATATATATATATATTGTTCTGTGCCAGGGGCTAGGGAGAGGTGAGAATGGGGCAGGGGCTGGGAAGAGGGGAGAATGGGGAGTCCATCTGGTACTGAGTTATCATAGGCTCTGTACCCCCAGATAACCTAAACTAAGATGACAAGGGGTTACTGCTCGACTGTGAGCTGGCAAAGAGTGGCGTGGTCTAAGGGAGACCAGAAACTCCGTATCCTAACCATTAGTGCCTCCACCTCCACCTTTCCAGGTGTGTCTGCACTTAAAACTCTCCCACAAGAAACTCTCACTAACCCATAAATTATGGGTGCTTTGGTGTGAAAGAACATGTCAACCAATAGCAGAGTCACCCTAGACACTAGTGAGAATCAGAGAGGAGGGGGCACCCAAGTAAATGTTGCTTTTCTTAAACTGTATCTCTTCAGGAGGAAACAGAGATAACCCTAGAGTATGCATTCTCTTCTGGGGGCAATATCGCCCCCATGGGGGTGAAAATGGGTTTTTGTGGACACAAAAAAAACCAAACTTATGTATTACAGAGGACTGAGACTAAGATGAGGCAAGTGAGGAGTCTAGGACAGAAAATTTTAGGAGACACCTGCTTTTGGGGCTCTTTTTGTGTGTGTTTGTATACATATACATAATAATATATGTACTCGTTAGATGGCAATGAGTGCTGTGAGTAAGAGGATGGAAAGGGTCAGTCAGGCTAAGAGGGAAAGTGTTTTGATTTTAAATAGAGTGGTCTGAATCAACTTCTTAGAGAAGGTGACATTTGAGAAAAATTTGAAGGAGGTGATAGGGCAAACCAGGGGGCTCTCTGAGGGAAAAGTGTCCCAGGCAGAGGGAGCAGCAAGTGCAAAAGCCCTGAGGTGGGGATATGCCCCATGTGTAGGGAAACAGCAGAGAGGCCAATATGGCTGAGTGAGAGGAGGGAAGGGAGATATGAGGTCTGGGTAGAGGGTCATCTGTTTCATGGGAATGTGGGGAGATTCCACGAAGAAGCATGGGTATAACACCAGTGTAGTAAGTATTCAACAAAGGCAGTCTGCCTCCCTTCAGCCAGCTCCCTGAAGCACTAAGCTACATTTACATATCAGTCTGAAATAGCCCCAGAAGCTACCAACCTTCAGAAGTAGAGTGAACACAAATCGTGGGTAGCATTATTTGCACTGGCCTTGACCAGCAGCCTAGATTACTGTCTATGTATCTAACTTCAGGGGTACCAGGAAGGGGGGGATAATGCCCCAATATCCCCCACCTCATCCTTCCTAAAGTGCACATCCCTCCTGGAGGAACAGAGTGGATAGCCAGTAGGTCAGTGGCTCTTCAATTTTTTAGACCACAGCCCACGATAGAAGCAGCCCTGTGTAGTGTGGCGCTGGAGTGCCTATGCTTAGATCCTAGTTCTGTCCTTTTACTAGTAATCTTGAGCACATTACTTGACCTCCCTCAGTTTCCACCCTTACATGTAAAATTTCTTTGTATGGTTGTTATAAGGACCAAATGAGCTAATATCTGTGAAGTGCCTGGTTATAGTAATGCTATATAAATGCTTATTAACTAAAAATAAACTCCCTTTGGGGGCTCTGCTCTTCCCTGAAAAAATGCATATGAATACACACAGAAATTTGCATTCTATTTCAGGGAATTTATGGATGCTCCAAAATGTATCTTCTACACCCTTGAGGGAGGGTGGTCTATAAACCCCTGAGAGAGCCAAAATCATTTCTGGAGGGGTAAAGGGCAAGGGGATGGGTGGGTGGTACTGTGAGAGGGTGAGAGAAGAGCAAGAACCAGGAGGTGGGGGATCTAGAACACATCTTACCCTCTTCCCATTTTGTCCAGGGCCCACCTAGAATTGCTGATCGTTTGCATGTTGGGAAGTTCCATCAGCTAGGAAGTGAAGTTTTCTTGAATGATGTCATTATTAATTGTTTAATAAAAATGTTATGTCAGAGTATTTACTGAGCAGTGTGACATGAGATGGTCACAGCTCAAGTAAACACATTTCAGCTATGCCAGAGTAGAAATGTTTTCATTCATGTTGTTGGTTATGTAGCAAAATCTGAAAATACAGTTTTTGGAAGAGTGTCTGTTGTCCTAAGCCCTGAAGTGCCAATATAATAACAAAATAATATTGTTTTTAGGGTTCCCATATATGAGTGCCTAGGCGTGGTGTCTTGTTTTGAATCATCTCTCTATGGAACAGTAATTCAACCCAGAGAAGAACTGCCACCAGATTACAAGTTTTGGCTGGGTCTAAAATATTCACACAAAGGGGGTTAGTTGTAGCCTCCTTTAGATCTACTCATAGAAGATTAAGCCTTTATATTTCTCATCCAACCTGGGGATGAGTGTGTTAGAAGTAAGTACTCATTAGTATTAACACAGTCACAGGTTTAAGACGACCAACCATTTCACATTTTAAGTCTTACACCCCCACAGTATTGAACAGTGGGGAGAAAAATGAAAATTTCAAAAATACTCACACATGACCTTGCATGACTTGGGTGCAGGTAGTTTGTTTGTGAGGTGAGCAAAGAATCCAAGAATCAGGAGTGGGGGAGCAGGAAGAGGGCATTAGGAAAAGAGGGAAAGTTAATTAAAGGTACATTATTGAGGTTACTGATGAATTTTTTGTGTTGTCTGTGATCTGTATTTGAAGGGTCATTTTAACACACATTTGTAAGATCTGTTAAGCAATCTATCTGCTATGCTTGGCAGTTATAACTACTACTCCAGACTTCAGGTTCTGAATAACAGTAATCCAAGAAGAGTTCTCAAGGCTTTCCTTCATGGATTCTGCTTCACTGCTCTCAGAGCCATTCCTCATCTTTCCCCTGCTCTGCTTTGTATCACCTGGACCTGACCCCTTGCAGTATTTGGATTAAATTCCTGCTCTTGAACTACCTGCCACGGGTTCCTGACTGATCCCTGATTGATAGAGACTCCTTAATGTCATCAGTCAATCCAAATATTTTTGAACATCTACTAGATACAAGGCACTGGACTGAATTCCTTGAGGCTAATAAATAAAGCATCAAGCAGCTTAGCATCTAGTTGGGAAGACAAGACATACAATGGCAAACTTAAATAACAATGCCTAAGAGTATATGTTCAAATGCCAAGTGAATGATGTAGTCAGTGAATAAGCTTTAAGATATAAAAAGAAGAGAGCCATCTCCATTGGCTTCTGTAGCCAGGGCATACTTAAGAGGGCCAGGGAGCTGACATAAAGCGGTCATCTGCTAAAACTTCCAATTTTGGAAGGGTGAAAGTTTGAAATTTTACTTGAAATCTCCTGATTTATAAACTTTCAGAAACATCAGTGTGATTACCACTGTGTGGGCAAGATAGAACTTGTCTGGGAGCTGAATTGGGATTGTCAGCCAATGGTGTGCATTTGGTGGATGACTTACTGTATTGGGGGAGAAGTCGGAGGCAAAGAACCCTTCCAATTAAAAGATTCCAGGGTTCTAATATTTCACTAATATATGAGGCAATCAAGGCCTGGGCTTAGAAGGGGACAGTGGGCATGGGAAGGGAACAGAGGAGAAAGAGATTAGAGAATATTCATAATAATACCCTACCTTTATATACTAGTTTATGGTCTGCAGAGCTTGTCATTGGAAGCAGGATAGAATAGAGGCTCAGAGGGTAGGCTCTGATGTCAGACTACCTGGGTTCAAATCCCAGCTCTACTATGAATTGCTGGTGCAAGTCAATAAACTTTGCCCAACCTCAGTTTCTCAAGCACTAAAAAGGACTGATGCTAATAAATTCACATATCTGATAGAGCTGTTGGCTAATTAAATAATAAAATGTGTAAGAAGCCCTTAATACAGTAAGCCTAGACCACAGGAATCAGTGTTCACTATTATCATACATACACCATCTGTCTTTAATCCTTGCAACAGCCTCAAGTTACAGTGAGAAGAATGCACAGGATGATTGACTAGATCTGGAGATGGAAGATGAGATACGGGAGGAGTTGGGAGTAATGGCCAGAGAGTAAGCATTTGGTTTGTAGATTCAGCTCTATTGCTGAAATTAACTTCGGGTTTCTGGGCCCTTCAACACCTGTGGGATTTTTCTACATAAAGAGTGGTTCCTTGCAACTCATATTCTTCATAATTTTAAAATACTGGATTTCTGAGTATGGTAGGAAGAATAATGGCTCCCCCACAATGTCCATGTCTCAATGCCTAGAACCTGTAAATATGTTATCCTACATGGCAAAAGGGATTTTGTGGATGTGATTAAAGTTAAGGACCCTGAGATGGGGAGATTATCATGGATTATCTGGGTAGGCCCAATCTAATCACAAGAATTCTTAAGAGTCAAAGAGGAAAGTAGAAGAGTCAGAGGGATGCTACATGAGAAGGACCCCCACCCCATCCCGCAGTTGCTAGCTTTGAAGATGAAGGAATAGGGCATGAGCCAAGAAATGTGGGTGGCTTCCAGAATTTGGTAACAGCTCTCAATTTACTGCTGGCGGGCACCTTGGTCAGTCCTACTACCACAAAGTACTGAATTCTGTCAAAACCCCCCAAAAGCAGAACACAGATTCTCCACTAGAGCCTCCAGGAAGGAATGCAGTCTATTGATACCTTGATTTTAGTCTTACAGAACATGCAGTGGACTTACAGAACTATAACATAACAAACTTGTGTTGTCTTCAGCCACTAAATTCATGGTAATTAGTTACAACAGCAACAGGAAACTAATACACTGAGATTTCCAGCTTAAATTACATAGCTGGTGCTACCAGCAATACCGTCAAATTCAAGAACTGATTAGGTATGAAAATGATGTGAAGTGATGAGAGGTAAGTTCTTAGATATATGGAGTTGAAGAGGCAATGACAGTAAGGCATTCACAGGGCGGCAGTGGTCAGATCACACTTGGCTATGTGGGATTGGAGTTTGGGAAGTAGTGGCAATAACTTTGAAACAAAGTGTCAGGGAGGAAACGTAGGGAAAGAGACTCCATCAGTGGAGCCAGTTTCTTGAGTTTCCAGTTCCTCTGTTTGGCTTCCATGCTAAGTTTATGCATGCCAAACTCCTGCTCATCATAATTGGAATATATGGACTTTGTTTTAAAAAAATCACTAGGGAGTCATACCGAGTAAATTTTATAGACACATCACAATAATTTTATTTATTGACTTAAATCAAGACTTCAATAAATGAATAATGCTTTAAAATTTGCTCTTTGTTGGTTTCCAAAGGAAAATCTGAAAAATTTAACTGTTTTTCCTTTCTTTGTTTATGAATCTTTTTAACAATGGAAATATTTTGTCTCCTAAGAGTGTCATGGAGCTCAAATATATGACTCACTGGAAATGACGACCACCTCTTTGGTTGTAACAAATGAGAAGGGAGTTAGGAGAGAGCCCAAGAGAAACAGGCTGATACTCAGGAAAATGTAAGGCCTACGGGGATCTCTCTCTGTTAGACCAGGAGGAGTGATGTGGAGCATCATAATGAGAGGCAGAAAGTGAATAAAATGTTAGTCACTGAGCAATCAGGCTTCTAGAAGAAGAAAAAATGCCAAAAGAAAAAAAAGTGGGCAAAAACAGCTTTAAAATCTCTAGCTTCTATTTACCAGATTTCCTCCCTTCATCACTGTACATAGCTGCTTGGAGCCCCGTAAATTCCCTGATGGAAGAGGCCAGCTCTGCCTGTGGGGTGGGCTGGTCTAGCCCTTGAGCTAAATTTTCATCAGGTTTTACCTCTTTTTTGTGAATCCAACCTTTCTACCCAGAGATGGCCAACCAATTCTGTGGGTTTTCCAGAAAACTTCCTTCTCTGCTCTGGCTCTCCTATTATGCTTGACTAGTCCATTTCCTCTAACATCTAAGAAAGAGGTGAGACTCAAATCAGCCCCCTTCCTTGTGGGTACACAGCTCTGCTCAAAGGATTTAGCAGCAGAGAAGGTTGTAACCATTGGTAGCTATGGCAGCCACTGTTAGCCCCTTTCGCCTTTCAACATCACTCTCCATGCCTCTTCCCTGGTACTCAACTCTTCTTCAGTGTGCTGTACCATATTACTTGATCTGTAGATATTGTACCAACCTAGCATCCCAGGAATAAATCCCACTTGATCATGATGTATGATCTTTTTAATGTATTGCTAGATCAAGTTTGCTAATATTTTGTTGAGGATTTTGGCATCTATGTTCATCAGGGATATTCGCCTATACATTTTTCTTTGTAGTGTCTTTATCTGGTTTTAGAATTAGAATAATGCTGGCCTCATAAAATGAGCTTGGGAGTCTTCCCTCTTCTTGAATTTTGTGGAATACTTTGAGAAGGATTGGTCTTAGTTCTTTGAATGTTTGGTAAAATTCACCTGTGAAGCCATCCGGTCCAGGACTTTAATTTGTTGGAAGTTTCTTTTATTACTGCTTCTATTTCATTAGTTGTAATTGGTCTGTTCAGATTTTCTGTTTCTTCTTGATTCAGTTTTGGGAGATTGTATGTTTCTTGCAGGTTGTCCAATTTGTTGGCATATAGGTGTTCATAATATTGTCTTATAATCCTTTGTATTTCTGTGGTGTCAGTTGTTATATCTCCTCTTTTATTTCTGATTTTATTTATTTGGGTCTTCTCTCTTATTTTCTCGATGTGTCTGATTAAAGGTTTATCAATCTTGTTAATTTTTTCAAAGAACCAGCTGTCTCCCAAGAGTATTTAATAAATTAAACTCCTGTTAACTCAACATACTCTTTGATTGGTGGAATATTAAAGTAACATGAGGGATATATATTATGCTTGACTAGTCCATTTCCTCTAACATCTAAGACAGAGGTGAGCAGAGACTGGGCAGAGACTAAGAGGAGGCAATTACGATTAAATTAGGCCATCAAGTCATTAACTATTCTGGGTACATGGAGAAAAATCAGGTTATAAATAGTTTGTGTGATATGATCTTTCTTATCATACATATCAATACATATATACACAAGCATTTATCCATTTATTTATATACAGTTGACCTTGAACAAAATGGGCTTGAATCGTGCAAGTCCACTTATATGCGGATTTTTTCAAAAAATACTGTAAATGTATTTTCCCTATGACTGTCTTAATAACATTTTCTTTTCTCTAGCTTACTTTATATTATGTAAGAATACAGTATATAATACATATAACATAAAAAATACGTGTTAATCAACTGTTTATGTTATCGGTAAGGCTTCTTCTGGTCAACGGTGGGCTATTAGCAGTTAAGATTTTGGGGAGTCAAAAGTTACATGTGGGTTTTCAACTGTGCTGGGGATTGTTGCCCCTAATCCCCACTTTGTTCTAAGGTCAACTGTATTTATGTAGATATACATATATACATAGAAAGAAAAAAGAATATATGTCAAAATGTTAATGTAATTTATCTCTAGGTGGTGAAATTATAGGTGGTTTTAATTTTCTTCTTTTTGTTTATCTGTAATTTCTGAAGTTTCTCCAGTAAGTGTGTATTATTTTTCATGGATTAAAAAAATAGAATTACTATTCCTTTACAGAATCTGAGTATCCTCCCAAAATAAATAATACAGCAGTTCTTGTAGTTTATACACCCAGAGGCATCTGACCTAGTTTAACTCATAAGAAAGAAGTGGCTTAATAGGCATAAAGTCTGTGCTAATAGGTATAAATGAAGCACAGTTAATAGGAATTTAATTTATGCAAATGTATACATTTACTTGTACAAATTGTAATGAATGTTAGCCAACAACTAAAGTTCTTATTCATCATTTTTAGTTTAAAATGTACTAAACCATTATATCACAAAATATATAGAGCACAGTCAACAGTTAAATTGGAAGAATTGCTTCACCAGAGATACGTCTTTGTAGAGAATTGAAAAGAAGTACTGGAGGGGGAAGGGATCGGGTGGAATGGGTCATTGGGGAGAAAAAGGGACATCTGTAATATTTTAAGCAAAAATAAAATTTTTTAAAAATTTTTTAAAAAAAGAAAAGTAGTACTGATTACGCTGTTGAAAAAAATAATAGTAAATTAACATACTGCCCTCTTTTGGTAGCTATTTGCAACTCATTTTACATTTGCTCCCCTTTTAAGATGTTACCCTCCTACAAATTTATCTGCAAACTGAACTAATTTTAAATCACCTTTTTCCTCAACAGAGAATGCTGGTAATTCCAGTTTGTTACCACCATCTGGTAAGACTATTATTTCATGACTATGGGGGATTTCAGGAAAATAGTCTTAACGTTCTCTATGCAATACGGCATGTAGTCAGATACAGCAAAATTGTTTTTTTCCCCATGAAGCTTAATTACGTTAAATTCTGTCATTAAATCTATACCTGAAAAATCAGTAGCAAACATAAGAGGACAGGCATATTGTTCCCACACATTGCTGGACAAAGCTGGGGAGGGAGTAAACTGTGGGTTTTCAGTACGGTAACTGCTTAAGTTCTTCAATGTTATTTTTAGTTTTCTAGTTCACAAGTCTCCTGAAGAGCATCAAGAACATAAACATGCCGAATGTTCTTATATCTGAGGGATGCTTTCTCAGTACCCACACTGAACAAATATTTCTCAAAAGGCTTCTAAGGGCTTAGCACTCATAAGAATGGAAAGGCAAATAAATTAAAGAGAAATTTATAACTAGGACCCATCTTAGCAGGAACGAGGAACAAAACCTGTGTTCGAGACTGCTAGTTGGAAAGGGACCTCAGGGGTAAAGTGGTCCAGCGCCATCCCTTAGTGATGACATGAAGCCTGGAGGGGCTGAGTAACTTGTCTAAGGTCACACAGTTCTTGTCCTACATCACACAGAGGTGGCTTCTCGGACTTTTACTTCTGTATTCTTTCTGGTATACCATATATTAGAGAACAATCTTCTGTGATAAGGAGTCAGTCAACTCATTGTAATCTTAGTTGTGTGAAAATGAGCTTCTACTGTTATTAACTCATTTAAACAAAATAATAATAGCTATTACTTCTCAAGTACGTACTTCATGCCTGGGAGTCTTCAGATACCTCATTTAGCTTCCAATCTTGCAACATAGGAATCATTATATTCACGTTAGAGATGAAAAACTGCGGGCCAGAGAGGATAAAACTTGTTCATGTTCGCACATTCTCTGGAGCACACTACTGGGGTTTCAGTTCAGCCACCATCCTCTTACCCCATTGCTAGCTATGCAACTTTGGGCAAGTTCCTTCATCTTTCTTTCTGTGCCTCAGTTTCTTCTTCTGTAAACTGGGGAGAATAATAGTACCTGTTTCATAGGGTAATTGTGAAGATGAACTGAGATGACACATGTGCCTGGCACGGAGTAAGCCCTTGATAAGTAATAACTATCATTACTCTGGGTTATTAAGTAATGGGGCAAAGATTCAAACCTGGGACTGCAAGTCTCCAAATCCCAAGATCTTTTTACTATGCCATTTTCCCCCTCATGGTGAAGCTTCTAGGGTAAAATGAAACACTGCATGTCTCTTCTGGTACAATAGCCTTCATCAGACTTAATCATAGTGACATCTTTGCAAAATCCTGTTTGCATGGAATGGGATATGAGGCTTTGGAGGCACACACTGGGTCCAGTCACAGCCTGGGTTCTGGGTGCCCTGGGGGAGAGGTGCACTAACTGGAAACTAAGAGCCAGTGCACATCAGGGACGGATGGGCAGCTGTGCCCACAGGCCTCTTCTTTGCATGGCATCACCAGTCATCAATGTTTAGAAGAATTGATAGTAATTGATTAAAAACCACCTTTGGCCAATTATTTTGTTCTGCCACAGGAGCAAAGGATTCCATAGCCACACTTTGAATCTTACTGCTCAGGAACTTCTTACTTCTGAAGAAATATCCTTAGTAATTTTAAAAATGTAGTAAATGACAAAATATGGAATGAATAACGTAGGACAGACAGGGTGTGTGTGTTTCAGCCAAGGCATGAGCGGTCTAAAACAGACAGGCCAGCCAAGTGCCTCAACACACCCAAATGTCCTTATGGCTGAATATCAGGCTTCCTACTGCAAGGCTTGTTTTAGTTGTAAAATATTTGTGTTTACTTTTCCTGTGTGTATGTAGAGGTCAAGCCATTGGATCTTTTTAATATTTAAACAGGCAAAGTGTGTGTAGTACACTGCACCCTTAGCATAAGTGGAGTTATTCCACTGTAAATTTATAACTTGATTGTCTTAATAGTAGCCATACTTTAAAATAACTTACCAGGAAATTGTGTTAGGTAGTACAGTATTGAGTGATAGTAATGTGTTGTTTCTTTACATCCTTAATTCACTATGGGAAGAATTGTCAGGCATCATTATAACCAAATGGAGCCAATGTGCCAATATGTTTTATAACTGTAGCTTGAAAAATATTTAAAATATAAAATGTTTTCTAGAACTCTCTGGCTGAAAATTTTTGAAAGTTAGTATGTCTTATATTTTGTTGTGGTTCCTAAACTTATTTCCATAATATTCCATAAGTAGGAGCATGCTTCCTGATCATGAGCCTTGGGTTCTTCATCTGTAAAATGGGACAATTGCACTCATTTCATTCTTGGGTTCTTTCTCTACAATTCTCTGATTAAATGTATACCAAGTGATTATAAGACTTGCAGATTTAGTTACATACTGGTTTTATAGCATGTTTTCCACTTCTTTTCATGATTATATCTCAAAAGTTATAGCTCCTTAAAATTCAATAAATAATTGTTTCAAAGTACTAATTTGAAAAATTTGCGTTTTTTTCTCCTGCAGCTGACTCTCTTATTGGTTTTGTACCCTACTCCAATGGTACTCCAGGCAAGATTTTTTAAAAATTTAAACCTAGATTTAGCCCAATTTGTTACGTTTTTTATTTAATTATATCTTTGTATTGCTTTTTCCCTTGGGACCAAAGAGGTTGAAACTACAAGCCTAAATGGTAATAATTTTTCTGAAGCAAGTGAAAATTGACAACCATTAATATGAATATAAGTGTAATGAATGGTGTTGAAGGTTTCCATATTCAAATAATCAAAAAGATAAACCCAAAAAACCCAAGACTGACAATCCTGGAGAGCAACCTAAACTTTCTGGTTAAATGATAAAATTCTTATTATCATGGAGCAAGACAGCCCTCCATCACACTAACTGTTCTGTAAAAAAAAGAAATGCTGACCACATTATGAATACCCCATTTCACTTGCTCACCAACACAATTCCAACATGTTTTATATGACAGATTGTTTAAATATGAAAAGCACATCCAGTTACTTCAATATGATTCAGCATGGATTTGGAGGCACAGAGTGTTCAAAGACAGCTTTTTTACAGATGATTTTTATCAATTTTAAAATAGTATAAACCTAAATAAAATACTGGCTTCATTATGCTGGAGAAAAGGAAAAAGAACTGGGTTATATTCGAGGAGGTGGGCAGGGCAGCACATTCTGTTCCTTCCCCTTTGTGGGTAGACAGCCTTCCATCTTATTGCAATCAAAACCCAATACTTCTCACAATCCCTTGGTCAAAATAAAATCTCACCATGTGGTTGGCAGTTAAGGAGATAAACAATCATAGATGCAGTTCACACTGATCAAAACTGGTATAAATTCAGTTTTGGTCTAATGCCAAGGACCAGACATTATCATGTTTATGTGCAATTACTTTTTACAGCGAAAGAACATCTTCAAAATAGTTTTGGCAGTAGTATTTGGATTCCATTTTATGTGGTTAAAAAGTGTGATAATATAATACATTCCTTTTCCCCCCTAAAGTTTCATCCAGAATAATAAATTCTAGAATGCTTTTCATTAAAAGAAATACCAATAAAATAGATTTTAAATTGGATTTCAAGTGAAAAAAGATGAAAATGAGATTTCCCTAAAAGTTAGTTGAATATAGTGTTCAAGAATTCCAAATTTAAACTAGAATTACTTTCATAAGAATGAACTACATTAGATAAAAATATATTAAGCATCCAGAGGACTATCTATTAAAGTTAATATTAACTGTGAAGATACCATATCCCTTAGGGAATTTCATTATAATAGAGAAAAAAGGGGACAAAATATTAAATTACATATATGAGTTTATTTAAATGTAATAATGATAGGAATGTTGCTATGTTTTAGACACCTAACTTATGTTTAGGAAACACATTTTGAATGAATATTTGCTCAGGAATTGTCTCTGGGGGTTAGAGAACGGATAGTGTGGTGAGGGGTTGGGAAGCAAATACATTTGGTAATGTCAATTGGCTTTTACAAAGCTCTCTTACTTCTCCAGGATTTTGGGAGATGTGAAATGTTTAAGTAACCTAGGAAGATGCATGTGTTTATTAATCATGCCAATAGTTAGGTTAATTTTTATTATTTTATTTCAGTTGCTACTTCAACAGTGTTATCTACTTTAAACAAGACAGGTAATATCAAGTTATTTCTAAATATAATAGCTGTCTTCTGTGGCTTCTTGAGTTTCTCACTTGTGTGGTCTTTCGGATTAGTAAAGGTTATCTCCTTGCCCACTTCCTGTGCCTTCAACTGTTGATTTATTACTTGTTTTACTTTGACATTGAACTGTAATTCTGGTATCACCACACTCCTGATCTTCCAAACTGCTATGGCCATAGCACTCTATTTAAAATAATATTTTTAGTATAATAGTAATATATCTTAGCACATAAGAATGGAGAATATAGAAGAATACAAAGAAAATAGAATTAATCTTTAATGTTACTTTCCTAAGGCTATTACTGTTAATAATTTGGTATATTTCCATTCAGTATCATATGTAAATATACACTGTCATAGTTTATGTAGATTGTTATATCTTGCCCTCTTGACTTCAGATTAAGTTATAATTCTTTTCTAATGTCCCTTACTATTAATGACTTGATAATATCCCATTGTGTATCATATGTTGACCATTAGAGTTGTCTCTACTTTTTAAATAGAAATTGTTGCTATAAATATCCTTGTGCCAATATCTTTGCATTCATCCCTGATTTCCATAGGATGCATTCCAAGGACTGGATTTAATGGGTCAACATTATGATATTTTAAGGCCCTTGATGCCTACTGCCCAGTTACCTTCTAGAAAGGTTGTACCAGCAACATTCCTGCCAATAATGGATAAGAATGTCTGTATCACTATAGCTTTGCTGAGAGCTGAATCTATATCATATATTATTAAAATTTTCTCTCAATTCCTTAGGTTCTATTTTGCATTTATTATTAGTGAGGTTGAACACTTTTTCCCCCAAAGCACTTTTTTTACTAGAACCAGAAGCTCATTTCACAGTTGTATCTTTTTTACTCTGGAAAGGAAAGTATCAGGGCAAACAAAATAATGTATTTAAAGGATTCTTCAGGATAATACAAATGCTATCAGCCTCTATAATTACCACCAATCATTGCCCATAGGTCAGTCACACACTGAAACAGAAACTCATTAATAGCACATACACAAATGAGGCTTCTGAAACTGTCAGTATAACGTCATCATTCTTAAGTGCTTCTCTAAGATCTGAGCTTTATGTTTTCTTCAGAATTTGCCACTCACCCTAGGAGACAGAGTGTTTTTGCAAATCTGTGCCCTGAATGCAGCCTCTTCCAATTTGCCATCCTTACAGCCAGGATTTCTGAACCTGGTTCTCCACTATCTGGGAAATGAACTTTGGGCTCTGTCCCAAAAGTGTGTTGGGAAGATATTTCTAAGGTTTGCTTCTTCAGAGTGTTTTAATATTTACTTGTGAGTCATCGACATTGAACAGTTCTGTCCTGGTTCTGCTGTGAGCTTGTTGTATGACTGTAGTTGGATAGTCTCATCCTCTCTGACAATAATGTTATCTGTCAATATGATGGGAATAGCATTGTATTAACTCTTAGAGAAAATAGCAGGACACTTTCTTGGTTGTAGAGTGTAATCGCAGTATTTTAGATTCTGTGTTTACTGATTCCATTAATTTTTATTCTGAATCACCTGATCTTTACAACCTATCACCTGAAGGTCCTGATAGTGACTTCATTCTACATATCTGAAGTGTAATTCTGCATTGATTTGTCTATCAGCAGGAGAGCATGGAAACTGCAGTAAAATTGCACAAGCAGTGGAGTGTGTAATGGGTGTCATCTAACTGGGTAAACATGGGAATCTAAATCCCAGACCCACCCTATGCTATATGATCTGTGTATGCGATTCCCATTCATTCTGCTGAGATGACCAATAGTATATTAAAGGTATCGACAGTATGATTTTCTTAGTTCACTAAATGATACTCATGGCAAATTGTTTTTTAAAAACAAGCAACAATTCTGCTCTAATATTTAAATTGCTTCTTTGCAGAAAAAACTAAAATCACTATAGTAAAAACCTTCAATGCATCAGGTATGACTTATCAATATCAAGACTTTCTTTTTTATAACTAAAGTAAAATTAAACAAATGGCTGATGTTAATGTTTTCTTTCTCTTTTTTCCTACCTTTTAAATATGAAAGCTGTTCTTAATGAATAGATGTTTATGCACCGGGTACCTGAAGTTGTACTAAGTGTTGGGATTGTACTTCTAGTCTGTGGGGAGCAACAAGGCAAATAAACAGATAATTAACATGAATATGTTGTATGCAGATAAAGGCAGTGATTACACAACTGTTTTTGACATGGTTAAGAAGCATAGGAGATAGAGGGGCTAATGACTATCAATGAGATGCAGTTTATGAAGGAAAGATCCTTAAAGAAGTGAATCTTAATCTCTTTTTAAATAAAAAAAGGGATGTACTTTTAGGCACCTAGTGCAAGATTAGGGATAAATGACATGGTTAACAAAGGTTTCTGGTTGCTTTAAAGCAGAGGTTGGCACTCTATGGGCTATGGGCCAAATTCACCTTTTATGACCCACAAAGCCTAAAATATTTACTGTTTGATGCTTTACAAAGTTTTCTCACTCGTGATTTAAAGGACAACCTGTGGCCATGTACTTGGGGGACATTACCGATAACAACCCTAGCAATAGGAAAGAAAATTCTCAGTATGAGTAAGCAGCATGAGACAAACATCACTGGAAATGAAGGTGCCATTAAAATTTAGAGAAAGATGAGATGTGATAGAATGAAAAGCTTAGTAAGCAACAGACCAATAGTTGTATGAAACATTTAATGCATTACTACCCACCATCTATATATTGTATAATTGCATAGTATATATTTCTAATGAGTTATATCCATAAGCAAGTATATTTAAAATGAAATCATTCTCTTTTGATGTGGGAAACTTTGCTGTGGAACAATACAGACATCTACATTTCAGGTAACTTTTGGCACCTAAATTCAGTTTGCTCACAAAATCAAAAACTAGCTGAACCATGATGCCTACACACCCAATGTCAACTAAATCATTCTGGCAGAAACCATATCATACACATTAATTCAAATTGTAATTTTAGTTTGTGTCCAAACTAGTTCTCTTAGGAAAGAATTAAGCACTCATAAAGTGTGATGGTAATAAAATAGCAATGAAGCTATTTTATTACCATCACACTTTATGAGTGCTTAATTCTAAACAGGACCTAACAAGGATACAAAAATATTCCTTAATATAACAACCTTTTCCCCTTGGCAGTTTGCTTAGTACATTGTCAGCATTTGTCCCTCACATTTACAACAGATTTCTTATACTCTTCCAAGAGGATGAAATTAATGAAGGAAAGATTCTTAGAGTAGTAAACCCTGAACTATTTTCAAATCAAAGAAGAGATGTATTCCTTTCACCTTTGCTGAAAGTGTTTCTCAGGTTAATATGTATGAAGTTTTTTGTTCTAATGTGGCTTATTTCATCTCCCATTCATCTTTGCCTCCTGCATATGCCTGTGTGGTCCGTTGTCCTGGCCATTACTCCATTTTGCCCTCACTATATCTTTTTTTTTTTTTTTTTTTTT